GAAATATGGAGAGCGTACACAATTCACACAAATCCAAAAACAGCGTCAACCGATTTAAAATTAACATGATTAAACGAAGTTGAGACGTCCGCGGTGCGATGTTTGCATCATAATGTTGCGTGATAATCCATAAATTATTAATAGAAATTCGTACCGATCTCCCCGAACGAGTCTTTATCTTTACTAATCTTGATAATCATTACTAGAATGGTAATCTATTTGCGTAACTAGCGATAATTGTTCGAATTTTATAGGCATTTTAAAAATGAATGAATGATAGTACAAAATTCTCTTTCCATAGATGACTCACAATCAATTGTTTACAGTATTTTCAAATATTCAAAGAATTAAACTAGGCATTTCCTTAGAGATTAGATTTATTATTATTATTATTTGAGGAACTTTGAGAAATTGCCAAAGCTATTAAAAGGAAATACGACCAAATAATGCAAAAAAAATGAACGTCTATGAAAGAATCCTAGGTTTTATGAGAAATGAATTTACGAGAAATGTTGTTCTTTTTTGTTGGAATGGACATACCTGTCAAAAGTTTTCATTCTAGACCTTGCGTTCAAATTAGGAACAATAAAATATTTATTTATCTTTCAAACATTAGTAATACACGTTGAATCATGTCGACAATTCAATTACAAAATTTCAAAAACGAACGAAATAGTAAATTTTGTGCGACAAATAAATTTTTTATTTACAAGTAAACGGGTAAATTAAATTTGGAAATTGCGGGAAAATTTTTCCGACTTTTTCCGACGTTATATATATAGATATTTAATTCAAGATAGTTTAAATCATTTCTTATAGAAATCAATTAAGATTAAAACATATGCGTAAAAATTAATTATTATAGAGCATGCAAAGCACCTAAGAATATAAAAATTAACAAATTCTATGTACAATTTCTATGATCGTAAAGATACTCATTGAACTTGGTGGTAACATCGCTAGTTTATCATCAATCGTTTTATGGACAAATGCACAAATTTCTGTGCGAAAATTCAGAAAGGTTATTTTTAATAATTTCATCTTTATTTACTTGTAATTTCTTAATGACATATGGAATACTCTTAATAACTTAATGCTTAATTTTCACCTGTTTTGTGTCATATTTTAGAAAATGAAACTTAAAAAAATTAAAGAAATTTTTCTTGGTGGGGCCAAGGAAATTTCCCATATTAACGCATAGTATTTTTTTTTTAAAAAAAAAAAAATAAATAAATAAATAAAAACATGAATAAAATATTGTTTAAATCATAATTTCATAATAGAAAAATTTTTTTCTCCATCTTTTCTTTCTTTCGTTCGTTTTTTGTCTGGTTTTAATTCCCTTCATAGGAAGGGCTTCCCAAGTGGTAATTAAACCCGGGAATGTGCGCTAAACCCTCAAATAATTCCTCCGTAATTTTCGTTTCTTCAGAGGATGTTAATGTCACATCCGTAGAGGATGTTTTATTTTCAGAGGCTATTATATTCATATATATATAAATAGTTGACGTTAGTTTCATTAATTAAATTTTCAAATTAAGAGAAGTGAAGTAAATTTACTAACGTGTGCCGATCACCGGAGTAAAAAATTCGAACACTAGGGTTCGTTTTTTCCACTTTTCTTTTGTACTCAAATAAAGAGATTGAAAAATATCCCTTAATTCGGGATGCTCGGATTTGACATGCTTCCAAAGATTCGAAGAAATACTCGAAACCTGATGACGCTCATATTTATTGAGCACACTCATGCATCTCTGCACCGGGTTCCGAAAAATGATGAATATGGTCGGCGGCTTACGACTAGCCACCCTACAAGTGCTCAACACATCATCACTCGTAGGGATGATGAATCGAGTATATCGACCTTCCAAACAAAACCAATATTCACCGTCATTTTGGCGGTGAATAATGGCGATTGGAGAAGATGGGGATGATGACGACGAAATAAGACGGGATTGTAAAGGCATTTTATCAACGATCCGAGGGAAGTTTTATATTTATAAAACAAAATAAAATTCTTGGAAAAAAAAAAATCAAAAAGTACGAAAAAAAATTGCTTCTTTTTATAATTGTCGAGGAGATGATTAAATGGTATTAGCATGATAGCATGGCATTCTTAAATAAACTATTATATGACAAATATGGAATTTTAATAATTTGACTGTAGAATTTTCAGCGCACGTTATAATGTAATTTGTAATTATATTTATTCGGAGTCCTATTTGCGGAATTTAGTACTGATCACGGTGTATGAAAGATTTGTTATTTTTTGATCATAAAGCAAATATTCGGCACATTATGAATCGATTAATTCAATTTATAAATTGGAGAAGTAAGGTTTATGTTTTTGCCTGCGCACAGAATGTAATTTTCTTTTTCTTTTTTTGACGCGCACACATCATGCATTTCAATGCATGATGCAATCGTTTGAACTTATTTAAGTAGAGGGTAAAAGCGTGTTCGCTATATTAATCATTAAATGATTTCTTATTTACGAAAGACAACTCAACCTTATTGACTGACGCAAATGGAGAATTACGCGTTTGTTTGGCATTAATGCGTTGGTGTTACCTCCCCCGAAAACTAAGCCAAGACGATGTTCAAAAGAGAAAAATAAAAAGCAAAAATGAAGTGTACATTGTTGCCATTGTTAAAAAAGGCAAGTACATAATTTGTCGCGTATTATTTAAGTTTCACAAAAAGTCCAAAATATTGAAAAAAAATTTCTCGTGTCTCGATTGTGTGTCGGTTTGATTGGATATTCAATTAGCTTTTTCACTTTTTCCTTGTAAGGGATTCAAAGACAAATGACGCCTTACGATTAGTAAGCTAAGCCTAGTGAGTCAGTTTCGACATTTTAATTGTGATTTGTGTGATTTATCATCGACAAAATAGAATTCCATTAGACAGATGATTATGCGGTCGATTTATAAAAACATCAATGATCCTAGAAATTTTCTCGGATATTAATTCGGATCGTACTCTTTTTGATTTCATTTTAAGAGTACTTACTTCTTCAAAAAAAAAATAAAAGTAAAAATAAAAATGTGATTTACCACAACAGCAACAACAATAATATTTCTTTGATGGGTTGACAGAAAAGGAATTCCTTCAATGACTTTTCATCATTTTATCAAAATTAATTTGCCATTTTTACGGAGTTCGTAAAAATATCAACACAACATTTTAGTATCAATTTTTTTTTATGGATGGGACAATTGTAAAACGTTAGAAATTAATAAATTCAAATTCAAATTTTGCGCTCATCATTAAAATGATCGCTCTGAACGACTATAATAAGAAGTCAAAATGATGGATCGACTTGAAATTTTCGTTTCTTTTCGTTTTTCCGTTACAACTGAATAACTTCTTTTTTTTTTTTTCTTTTTCTATTTTTTTAATCACAAAAAAATTCCCGCACGAAGATGGGATTTTTCATATGCGTCGAAAATTTAGTTCTTCGCGTATATTTCTAAAATTGATTTTTTTTTTAAAAAAAAAAAAAAGGTATCACAGGTTCGGAATTCCAAAATCCGGTTGAAACATTAGCGTTAAGGATTATTTTTTTTTTTTTTTTTTATTTATTTTGAGGAATAACAACAACGGTAATACGTTCGGTTTAAAATTATTTACAAATTGTATTTTTCAAATATGGTCATAAAGAAATGAAATAATTCCTGCATATAATTATAAAAAGCAAGAGAAATCAAGATGAACCGTACTCGCATTTGTGAAATCAAATTTGGGATTATGCGATTCTTGGACGAATTGAATTGTAGCCAACGGAATTCATACTGCGTTCAATTTCATCAATCGGTGTTTCACTTCGATTATTGTGACTTTAATTTCATCGATGAACCTATTATTAATCGCGCGTTCATGATCTTCCAAGAGAACATGTGAAACACGGAATTTGATAAAGCTAAAGAGAATATGTCGCGCTATTTATTTATCCCCCCCTTTTTTTTGAAACAATGAATTATAATTATTGTTATGACTTTTACGAATAATGAAAGACTAAGCCACAAACATATTGTGTAATGCAATGATAAACTCTCATTTCGGGATCGAAAATGATATGGATGAAAGAAAAAAAAAGATTCAATTGAATTATTTATTTTATTATTTTTCTTTTTTCATATAAAACATAGTATCATTGATTTTTTGAAGGCTGAACATTTTGTTTGATTTCATATAATTTACTGTACATTTCATTTTTTATGGTGTTGAGTCGTAATGTTCGACAAATACTGCTATAAAGGATTTTTATTGGTTTAGTTATGATAAATAACAAGATTCACGTTTATGCAGGGGAATAGAATGGGTAAGCGCAGGTCAATACATTTTGAGCGTTCAATAAAGAAACAAGCAAGCATATTGTAGACTCGAAAAAACCTATTCATGAATGAGATGCTAGGCTAATCGATACGAAATTTTGTTTCAAATTGGAAGATTTAAACAGGGATGAAGATTTGAACGAATTTTTTTGGGGATTTGGCGTTTTTGCCATGGTAAGGTAATTATGAATTAAGAAATCATCTGCAAATCAAAGAAATCGTATAGGGGGTCAATATTATTTTTGTTCTCATTTTGGACTCCGACAAATAAGAATATTATGTCATTATCATTGATTAAGCTGCATAATCGCTTTGTATTTATTGCTTTATTTATACATTTAAAGTCATGTAACATTCAAATATGCCAAATTGTTTATTTTTATTTTTATTTTTAAATTTTTTTTTTCTTTGGTTCCGATTCAATGAAAAAGAAATCCATTCAAAGTTCTTCTGATTCCTCAGCGAGAATTGTCCGTTACGTAGAGCGAATGATATTGATAAATTTTAATTACAATAAAAAACTGACAAATGTTTCACAACATTACTTTTTTTTTTGTTTATTAGACACAATCTTTTTGTTTGTTACATGGTGGTCATACCCAAAAATTGACAACTTTGAAAAATAACTGAAATGGTCTGTGTAAATCTTAAAACCTTAATGGGTTAAATCGTAACTTTTTGTGATGCACCTGCACCTGAACCTGACCTTATCATTATGAATAAAAAAAAATCACAATGAGTTCGGTCATGAAAAAATCAACAATGGGAACTTACCCTCGTGACTCATCCTTGTTTATACGCTTATAAATTGAAAATAACACAATAGAAGACGCATTTGCCTAAAAGAATTGATATCGTCTTATCATTCACGTGTATCATTTCTCGCAGTCATGCAAAGAATAAGCAGCTGATATGCTAGAATAAAGTTATTTGCCACTATGACAGTTTGAGAAACTTCTTGATCAACTTGATGCTTGCATTACTTTTTGGTCATGAACAAAACAAATCATCACGAGTCGGAAAATTGTTAAACGTGATCAAACAATCGTAACTATGTATGGAAAAATAATAACAGAGTCTTATAAAACTGGGAACGGGAAGTTTCTTTCAAGTGAAAGAACAGATTCAACACCTGTCCAGGTGACAAAGAATTCGACACGATCCGCATAAAATATACTCATGTGATACAATTAAGGGAAAAAACCCAAATTTTATGCATCAAATGTCTATTTTGAAAAATTCCTTACTTTTTTGTATTACTTGTAATAATATTGTCTTTGCAACAACAAAAAAAAAAAAATCTCTATTTGTCGATGACAAATCGGATTATTTCTTCCGAAGTTGATGATATGATATTCTCACTTTTTAAATTAACAATAAATTCTCAATCTAACCATTCTTAAGAGAAGAATAATTGAATTTATCTTAAAATCTAAGGTATAAACGGAATCCAGATTCCTTTTGCGAGGATGGAATAATCAAATTTGGCTAAATAATGCATCGTTACCGTCTTCTCTCATGTACAAACTCATTCATTCATCAGCGATTGATTTTGATTAGTTATCTTATCAAGATAAGGAACATGCTCCTTATCAAAGTTAATTTATTAGAATTGTGAATTTCGAGAATCATTTGTCCGACACATCTAAATAATAATCTTCTAAGAAAAAATTCAAATAAATCACTTCTGACTTGATAAGCTGTTTCATCGCTTTGTTTTTTTTATTATTGTTAAAAAAAAAAACTTACCTTCCAAAAAGAAGCTTATTGATAATAATAAAAAAAAAAAAAAAAAAAAATGTTTTATTGACACACCGGTGTGATATTTTTTTTTGTGTTTCCAAATATTAATTCAGGAAAATTTTATTATAAAAGTAAATAAATACATATAAATATCGAATAATTTTCCGAAAAAACAATCAAAAATGGAAATTCGATGTAAAACGTCGTCTGAGCAGAAAAAAAAAAAAAAAAATGTAAAGATAAAATAATTTTAAAAAAATTAAAATGCGTAAATTAAGGTCGCTAATTAAAGTAAATTTGTAAAATGTAAAAAAAAAAAATAAAAATAAAAAATTGACTATTAAAACCATTTATATTTTGTTTTGCAAAAATCTATTAAAAAACATTTCCCCAAGTATACACGAATATGTAACATGTATGAATAATCATACCATTTTGATGTTTAAAATTTTGTACATAGTTACAATTAAATAAAAAAAAAAAATAAGAAAATTTCAAAAAAAAATGGAATCGTGGTTTTTAAATTGCAATTGTAAGCCAACTTTATCTTCATCACTAAGGTTGCCATAAAAGAAATCATAAGCATCTGTGTCGTCAAACTTAATTTTCGTTTCTTCTGGTTCTGGTTGAGAAGATTCTTGAATTTGAATTCCTTCAAATAACAGAGTCGTATCAACAGATACTTCAAACTGACAGCCTTGTGTAAAAATATCTCCAGGTGAATAACTCGATGGTGGATTATCCATATGAAAAATATCAAAACAACCTTCATCAAATTTGTTGAACATTGATTCATTCAATATAATAAAATCATCATCAAAAGAATCATCAACAAATTGAGAATCCATTAAATCCACAAAAGGTTCATCTTTTCGAAAATCTTTTGCGGTCATAATTTCGAAGCTAAGTGGATGCAAATTTCTTTCGTTTGAAGATAGCAATTCCTTTCGTTCTAATGTTGAATTGGTGAAATTGGTTGATGAAAAGTTTTTTGTTCTAGGTTTGTGGCTTATAAAGGAAGGTGCACGAATACCACGAAGGTAATTTTCGGCATTTTTTGACAATTGGGAGAATGCATTTTTCATTTTTTCTGAAGCCACTTTCCAGACAGATTGGGCAAGAACACTAATCTTGCCCACATCATATGAAGAGATTGTTGAGATGTTGAGCGATCGAGAAAAGAATGTTCGAAAGATAATAAAAGAATTTGGAAAACGAGCAGAATTTTCCCGACAAATTTCCAACGCCATTCTAGTACTAGGGAAACTAAATGATGACACGATAAATAGGCCTTCAGAACTCAGAGAAAAGACTACGACCAAATGTTCGTGGTGTTCGTTGAAAGCAGGGTTTTGAATTAAATAAGGCCAAAATTGATGATAACGTACAAGTTGTTGATTTTGCTTTTTCATCTTTTTTTTTTTTGTTGTTAAAAAATAAAAGAAACGAGAAAATCTCTTTTTAATCCAAAAAGATAAAAGTGAAAATCAAAAGTGTTCCCCATTCAATTGAATTTATATAGAACAGCAACCATGTGACGAATAACATTTTCATTAAGTTCTCTTAGCGTACAATTAAATATAAATGATAGATAAAGAATATTAGTACGTGAATGTGATAATTATAAAAGTAAATCTTAATGATCAAATACCTAGAATAAACTTTCACGTGGCATGTTTCCTATCTTCTAATCAGTAGTACGACACATTATAAATGGTTAAATAACGCGTCCCAATTCAATGTAAATGAAAATACTTTTCCCGTTATTAGTCATGCCACAAATATATGTATGGATGAAAAAGAAATAAATTAATATTTATTTATTTAAAGAAAAGCGTAGGTCACGTAAAAATAATACGGATTGCATAAAGAATAAAAGAATACACCCATCAATCCAAAAGAATTTTGTAATTTATGTTCTTTAAATTTGCTTTATTAATTTTTGATATAAAACATAGATTGGGATGAGTAATATCGTATAAAGAAGATATTATACTCATATCCCTAATTTTCGCACATAAAAAAAAAAAAAAGGAAACGCATTAAATTTGCCAAATAAAGATAAACAAAGAAAAAAAAAAAAAATCTCTTTCAAAATGTCCAATTCTGTCTATTATTCTTTCAAAATGTTCTTTGTGGAATAAATTCCCCCTGTTTTTTTTTTATCGGCGCCCGAAAACAAAGGCGCGGAGTTCGGAAAGTGTGAGAAAATTCCCAGAATATTGTATTACAGAAGACTGTTGGGTCAACTTATTTGCGTTCATGACGATGTGGCAAGCTCATTATGTAATCCATGACATGCATGAGGGAAAAAAACTCCTTCTCCTACCCTTAAAACTTTTCTCGAGACATTTCTACTAAACATTATGACAGGTTTTTTTGGATCGCAGCGAGTGCTGCGCTTTTAAGAACTCATCTGGATCAAAAATTTGGAATAAAAGTTCTTTTATCGGTTCGAAATTTTGATTTTTGATTAATTAAAAATTTACAAAAAAAAAAAAATTTAATTTTCGTTGAAAAAATTAATCGAAAAAGTTTATTACGAAGGATAAAAATTATAAAATTTTTAACCGCTCACAAAATAAAATAATTTCGTTCATGGAAACCAAACAGGACCCAACATCTTTATATATCAAAAAAGTTGATCCTTTTATTTTCGGATTCTAAATCTCCTTAATTTGCCTATTTTTGTTGTATAATTTTCGTCGATCAGTAAAGGGGCGTTATAGATTTGTATACAAGATGACATTTTAAATGAATCTATATTTAGATATTCGAAATTGAACATATTGAATGCAATACAATTCTTTTAATCAACCTATTTAAAGTTAAAAGAGATGGAAGATGAAGGAATTTCACTTTGTTTGTGCATAGCTTACACGTCTATGGCTTTATAAAAAAAATCTGTTGCGACCTATTATTAACTAATAAAAAATTGATGCGTCCCCATTACCCCAATCCTTTTCTTTTATCTTTTTTGATCTCTTACAAAAAAAAAAAACGTTGCCGAGAGTAAGGTTTCCATTGGTTTTGAAAGCGGAGATGTTTAAATTTTTTGGCAATGTGATTGTGTGAGAATATTCGTGCTGAGAAATAGGAAATTTAATTTGGAAAAATTTATCCATTAGAAAGTGTATTTTGGGTATCAAATAAAAATAAAATTAAATAAAAAATATACAAATGAAAATAAGTAAAATATAAATTTACAATATCATAATGTAAAAGAATTACATAATTTACATTATATATAGACGCTTTTTAATATGCAAATTTCTTTTGTTCTGTCTTCTTTATGAATTAAGATAAAAAATATATTTTTTTTATTCCTTCGTTGTAGTCAAAATAAAATTATTGAATAAGATAAATTAAATACAAATGTAACAAATATGATAAAATAATGCAGTTAATATAAATTAACCATCACATCATGAATGGTTACTAATAATTGTACGTAGTATAATGTAAATGTTTATTACTCATCGCGACTTTTTTTGCGATTTGGACTAGTAACAGCTTCTTATATATTTATTTTCGGAGAGTAAATTCTCCTCATGTGGCCTAATCATTCAATTATGGGAAAACATTTTCTGCATCAAATTCAAGAATTTGCAAAAAAGGGAAAGTGAGTGTGCAGAACAAAGAAACTGCGCCGATACCGATTCTGGATTTCATTTTGTTATCATGCATGTATCGTGTGATGTTTCCTAAAAAAGGCAAATCATGGGTCAAAGGACCCGTATTTTTTGTTGACATCTTTAAATTATATAATTATATTTTTAAGTTTATTTTTAGTTAACGCTCATATTTGGTAATTAAGGTAAAATCAACCTCGCTTTATTTGGTAATTTTGGATGTACTGTACTCTGTAACAAATTTGTTAATTATATTATTTCCAAATCAATAAAAAAAATAAAAAAAAATAAAAAAAGCTATTCATCTAAATAACCGAAAGTTAATAAAATAAATTAAAAAAATTATAAAATCCAACTTAAATCATTTTTCTGTGTTTTAGTTTTCGCAAATTTTTTTCATCCGTTAAAAATTAAAATTTGAAATAAATATATTTATTCAAGAGAAAAAGAAAAGTGGTGGTGCTACCAATATACTTGTGGCAATCATCCGGAATCCGGAATTAAAGACAAATAGTAGATAAAACTGACAGAATTTTAAAGCATTTCAAAAGCTGTCAGAATTTTCAAAATTAATATAGTCAATAAGAAAAAAACGAAGTTTTTTAAGAATGAAGTTAATGGAAATTTGGGTAAAAGAATAAGAATTTTTGTTGTTGTTTATTATTTTAAAATATTATTTAACGCTCATATTTTACATTTTTTAATATGAAGTAATTCTTTGCCTTCTCATTGATTAATACGATCCTCATAACTATTTACCTTCTCATTGGTCAATTAAGATAAAAAAAAATTCCATCATTTATTACAGATTACTATTTCTTGTAAATTTCCATTATCTTGGTTAAATAATCCAGAGGTTATGAACTGTTTAAATTTCTCATCCCACAAAAAAATCTTATAAACTGAAATTTTAAGCAATGTTATTAAGAACTTTGATAGTATAATATAGAAAAATTGGTATTAGATAGAATAGGTATACTCTTTCATTTAATAAATAGACCAATGTTTCTGAATAAAAATTATTGGATATAATGCTAAAGGATAGCTTAATTAAGGATTGAAAATGATTTTGATATTTAGAATTGATTTGAGAATCGATTTAATCGTGAGTTTTATGTTTGAGAACACCCAAAATAGATTAAACTAAAATAATTAAATTAAAAAAATAAGAATATACTGTATATATGGGGGCTAAGCTATTAAAATCACCTAAATTAATTTTGAGTAAATAATGATTAAAAAAATGCTATGCCACAATAAACATTTTCAACCAATAATAAATTGTTCTATTTTTAAATATTAAGTTGAATTAATTATTAAAACGATACTAAAATTTATTATTTAAAATTATTTTACAAGACTAATTTATGTAAAACTTGAAATCAATTTCGTAATGAAATTTTGCTATTAAAATCACTCTACAGAACATTATTATACTAATTTTTAATACTTGAAATCAATTTTGTATTACTTTAGATTTTGCTATTGAAATCACCCTACAGGATATTGTTATACTAATTTTATTGAAAATCAAAAAAAAAAAAAAAAATAAGAAATTTTTCAATAAAAAAAATATTTTCTTAAAGGGTATGAATATCCCTCCTAGTCCTCTCATTCAAACACATATTCAAACTATTAATAATGGTTTTAATTAAAGTTAAAAATTTTGAATTTTATAAGGATCTGAAACTTGTTTAACTTTTTAAATAATAAAATAATATCAATTATTTCTAAATTTAATATCGATCATTTCTAAATCTTTAGATTTTTTGACTGATGGTACACAAAGAAATATGAAATTTTGATGGCCTAATTGCTTGCTTTATTAATAAGATAATCGACTATAAAAATTTAATCAAATAAAGTTCATATATCATATAATAATATGAATCAAAAATCTTAATTTTGGTTGGTGAGGTCCCGTAAGGTGATTTTAATAGCTTAGCCCCCATATACAAATTAAAAATTAAATTAAATTTTTTAAATTTTAAAAAAAGTTCAAAATCCAAAAATAAAAAAATAAATTTAATTAAAAAAAATTTGTAGATATAAAAAAAAATATTTAAAAATTAAAAATAAAAAAAGATTAATATTATATACAGTTTATGTTATATAGATATTAGTATCAGGTGATTCTACTTTATA